CTGTGTTTAGCTGCCCTCCCACCTGAATACTTACAAAGAACCTTGTAGCAGACAGTAGTTTTTTGTTTTTATCCTTAGAAATACTTTCTGTCTATAATGCAACTAAGTATAGCATTGAAACCTTCATAAAGACCAGCTGATTTTGTTTTTTGGGTTTTTGTTGTTTTTGAGACAGGGTCCCACTTTGGAGCACTTGCTGGCCTGAAACTTGATGTGTGAACCAGGCTGGCCTCAAACTCATAGAAATCTTCCTATCTCTGCCGTCCAAGTGTTGGGATTAAAGTCAGCTGTTTTGCTTGTTTGTTTGTTTTTCAAATTAAAACATAATTACATCATTTCCCCTTGCCATCCCATCCCACAACCCCCATTCCCTCTCAAATTCATGCCCTCTTTTTTCTGTAACTATTATTGTTACAGGTAGGTATGTATGTAGTTGGCATTGTCTTTGGGCTGCCAACTATCTCCCAAATAAAGACACAGAGACTTAATTATGAATGCTTGGCCTTAGCTTAGGCTTGTCCCACTAGCTCTTTTAACTTAATTTAACCTGTTTCTATTTATCTATGTTTTGCCTCAGGGCTTTTTACCTTTCTCTCACTCTGTATGTCCTGCTTTTCCATTTCCTCCATGTCTGGCTAGCCCCTGGCGTCTCCCTGATGTCTCTTTTTCTTTCTTCCTCCAAGCCTAATTTCCTCCTCCTATATTACTTTCCCTGTCCAGAAGTCTCACCTATACCTCCTCCCTTGCAATTGACTGTTCAGCTTTTTATTAGACCAATCAGGTGGCTTAGGCAGACAAGGTAAAACAGCAACCTATCTTTACATAGTTAAACAAATAGTCTACAACATAAACAAATGCAACACATATTTACATAGTTAAACAAATATTCCAAAACATAAACAAATGCAACACATCATTGCATAGTTAAAGAAATATTCTGCAATGTGTATGCACATGGACCTAGATATATAAATATAACTTACTGAGTCCATTTAGTCTTGATTGTATGTATATGATTTCAGGGATGATCACTTGGTTTTAGATAACCAGTCAGAGATCTCATCCTGGGGAAGACATAATTCTTACTTTCTAAGCATTCCTTAGTTGCCTGCAGTTCTTTGTCTGGGGGATGGGGAGCATAAGATTACTACCTTCTGCATTAGAGTATCTATTTGTATTATTTTGTTCTGGTCCTATTAAGGTAGCCATATTGTTGAGGTGTCATAGGTGAAGCTAGGAGACAGACTCGCACAGCAGACTTTCTGATCCTCTGGCCCCTAACACTCTGTCTCCTTTTCAGTAATGTTCCTTGAGCCTTAGGAGTGGAGGTGGTGTTAGAGATGTAACTGTTTTGGCCGAGCACTCCCGTTGTTCTCTGTATTATGACTAGTTGTTTTCTGTAAGGGTCTCTTTCTGCTGTAAGGAGAAGCTTGTTTGATGAGGGGTGAGCACTTACCTGTGGCTGTAACAGTAAGAATGCAGTTAGGAATTATGTTGGTCTGGCAAAGTGACAGTAGATTCTCTTGGAAGATCCAGACCTCACTAGCCTGAGTAGTTGACTACGTTTTCAGTATCAGGCATGATTTTCCTCCTCAAAAGTGGAACTTAAGTCCAGTTAGATAGTTGTTGACTCTCTCCAAGAAAAAAGTGCCATTGTTGTATGTTTAGAGAAAGTTTGCCATGTTGGTCCTCATTGTGGTTCATAGGCATCATAAATGGTTAGAACTTTTGATTGCCAGAGAGGGGGACAGCAGAATATAGTGATATGAAGAGAAAAGGGGGAGGGTTGGAGTCAACTGCGGAGGGAAAGGTACATCAATACAGAAGAGAAGGAGAGGGGATAAATAACACTTAGGGTCTTTGAAAAAGCCATGAGAAATCATATTATTTTATATTTTCCTACTATTACAAGTGCAATACATGTAAGTATATGTGATAATGCTCCCTCCAAGAACCATATATTATCCTGCAAAATCCTTGGTACCAGGCATGAGAAACCTCCTTTCTAGTTGTTGTTCAGTAAAGTCCGAGTGAGCTCCCCAAGCAATACAGTCTGTTGTTGTTTCCTTTGGATGTCCCCCAGAGAATGAGAATGAGTCCATATTTCTGAAGACACCATGCACTGTGGACACAACACTGACAATTCAAGCTACATCTGATCTGAAAGCCTCCTCCCTGTGGATTAGCTTTCATAGGGTCAGAATTGCTGGGCATCTGCCAAGGGAGGGAAGCAGTCAAAAGCAGCTTGTCTTAAAGATCAAAGATCACGTTTCACATAGGATAAAACGTGTTCCCATGTCCCAATCAGGATTGCTGGCAAAGTGAATAATTTCTGACAAATGGAAACTCACTGCTAAGGGAAACATAAGTTATTTTTTTAATGCAAATGGAGGTCACAGAAGGAGAGGTCAGGATGGTTTGATACATTATTCCTAATACTAAAGTTCCTGGAGTGACATATTTCTAAAATAGATGTTTTTCTGATGTCTCCCAACTCTCAACAGGAACATACCAAATAGCAGGAACTGTTTGCTGTAGTAGACATGATATTTTCTAATGAAAACTCAGTTTCTCCTTCAGAGGATTACTGCCTCAAGACCTCATTTTTAGTCTTAACTTATATGTGTTGGGAACCAGAGTGATGGTTGAGCTGCTCTTCCAATGGACTCATGTTTGATTCTCAGCACCTAAATAGCAGCTCATACCATTCTTAGGGGCTCCAACACCTTCTTCTGGCCTATGAGAGCACCAGGGACATGTAGCCACAGGCATACATACATCGAAAACACCCATATACATAAAATAAGCAGATTTAATTTTTTTTTCCATTTGTGATTTTTTACCTTCTTAATAACTGCATTCTTTAAATTTTATTTTTTTATTTTATTTTATTTTACAATACCATTCAGTTCTACATATCAGCCACGGTTTCCCCTGTTCTCCCCCCTCCCACCCCCTCCCCTTACCCCCA